CAGGCCACCCAGTATAAAATAGTACCTTGTGGACACTAGGCATCCCCTTGTTCTGCTTTCTTCTTAATCTCAGCACGGGTGTCACTTAATGAGTTGATTTCTCATTATCCATCTGCCTCCACTAGAATGTCATTCCCAGGAGGAGGGATGTTAATCTGAGTTCTCCTGCGACCCTGGAAGCCAGGATGAGAACAAGCCTGGGTGAGTCTGAGACGAGAAGAGACTTGGCTGAGAGATTCCCATTGTCTCAGCCAGAAGGCAGCCCCAGTCATCCTGGAAGCTGACTGCAGATGCAGGAATAAGCCCAGGTGTTCTGTGATGAATTGTGTCCCCCTAAATTCATATGTTGTGGTCTTAAACCCTAACACCTCAGAATGTAACAGTGTTTGGTGATAAGGTCTTTAAAGAGGTAATTAAATTAAAACGAGGCCTTTAGGGTGGGCCCAATTCATGATGACTGGTGTGCTGCCAAGAGTAAATCTGGACACAGGTGTGCACAGCGGGAAGACCATGGGAAGACACAGGGAGAAGTCAGCCCTCGGCAAGTGAGAGAGAGAGGCCTCAGAAGAAGCCAACCTCGCTGACATCTTGACCTTGGACTGCCAGCCTCTGTAATTGTGAGGAAATCTATTTCTTTTGCTTAAACCACTTAGGCTGTGGTCCTTTGTGATGACAGCCCCAGGGGACTAATACCTGGTGGGTGAGACCAGAAGATTCACTTGACTGAGCCCAGCTCCTCTTGCCAACCATGGAATCACGAGCTTCGTAGGTGGTGTCTGTTTTAAGACACTGTGTTCTGGGATGGGGTTTCACCGAGTCAACCGATAAACTTTTGAAGGGCCAGGAAATGGCTCAGTGTTAATGGAAAACAGAACAAGGTGAATTCCTGATTGAATTTCCCCCTTTTTCTCGCCCTGCATACACATCTGCCATATATGGGGACACCACAGTTCCCTTCCCATAATTAGGGATCTAGAATCCCCTCTTCCAGCACACACCTGACACCCCAACATTTCCATGTAAAAGCATCTCCCATCTCAGGCACACCAGGCTTCCCCCCGGCAGGCACGTGTCAGTTCCCTCTCTGCTTCCACACACGTCTCTCCCAGACACTGTTACACGCAGTAATCATCTTTCTTACATACAGCACAGGTCATTTCTTTATTTCAGGAAATATTATCACAGCACTTTCAGAGTTAAAGTCAGCCCTTTATTTCAGTCCCTGGCTGCTTTTCCTCTCACGTTCTTCAGCTCTCCATGGGGAGACAGCATTTCCCTGCTCCATAGATCCAACAGACACCAATAGTTTCATGATCTTCTGGGCAAGAAAACCATTTACACTGGCCACCAATACCATTGCACTTGTCTTCTGAGTCTAGGACCAGGACCTGGGCTGTGGAGAGCAAAATCTTCCAGTTACTCAGTCAGGAGCAATATTCCCTGTGAATGCAGGGTCGCGATATGTGCACCGCAGAGCCGGCAGGAGAGGCTCCTTCTGCAGGCGCCTCCCTCAGAAACCCTACGGAGCCCCCGCTCCTTCTGCTCTGCTGCCACTGCTGTGTTGGTTCCTGAAGGGCAGGACAGCCTCTGCTCTAAAGAGGGCAGGTACCAAAGTGTCTGCCCAGAATGCTGACTCAAGGCTCCCCTGCCTGCGCCCCAGCGTCCAGCCCCTGCTCCAGATGTTCAAGGGGACTCTGTGCAGCCTCATGCAGCCTGATGAGAACCACCCCACACTGCACACCCTGGTGTGCCCTGGGCACAAAAGGGCAGGAGAGATTGGGCCATGGGAACTGGGCAGAAAGAGCAGACAGGGGTCAAGGGCCTCCCGTCCTTCCATGTTTTGTGCAGCATCCAGGCCTCAGGAGGGGCTGGCATGTGGGCCTGTCACCGTGGGCTGTCAGACAGAGGCCACAAAAAGTAAAAGAGCAGGAATCACAGAGGGGGAAAACACCTGGCGTGTCTCTCCTGCTCTGTGAGGCCCCTCCTACGCTCTCCCTTGTTTGTCCTCAATCAGACTCTGTAGGACTCTGGGGTTTGTCCTCCTTTTCAGGAGAAGACAGGGTTGAGTCTGAGGACAGCTCGGTGACTTGTCCAAGTGCACACTACGAGTCACCATCGGAGCTAAGAAAGACACACTGGTGTTTTGGCTCCTGGGTCCAGCTCTCTCCTTTATCCTGGGCTCTATCCCAGGCAGGGATGTCGGATAGCAAATGAGCCCTGTGGACTGCACCTCCTGTTGGTATTTATTTCTGTGGTCTGTTCCTAGGCTGGGAAGCCTGGCCTGGCCCAGTGGTGTTGTCTCTTCCTACTCACTGCTCCGCATGCCAGGGAAATGACCCATTCTTACCCTGAGAGATACTGAGGGCCGTGTTTCAGGCCATTAAGAGAAAGCTAAGAATCTCCTCTGAGACATTCATTCTTTGATTGACGCTCGACTTGACCCTCAGATTTATTACTTATTTCCAGACACTGACCCACTCCCCCTACCAGCTGGTCCCCATTCCCTGGGCATGAGATCCCTGTGCCCCCACACCAGCCTGGCTTCAGAGCTCACCTGTGGCAAAGTGAGGAAAGAGGATGAAGCAGGTCAGGAGCACGAAGCAGACGCCCCGCATAGTGAATGCCGGCTGGACCCTGGGTTGCAGGAGAAGATGAGGAGCTGCTCTGAGACTGGGACCCAGCGAGGCTGCTGAGGGCAGGAGGAACCTCTATTCTCAGGGTTCCTGGGCGCTTGCACAACAGCACTTGTTTTGAAACCTTGCCTGCTCTGATCCTGATTACAGGCAACTATTTATTTCTGTGCATGGGACGCTGTCCGTTACCTGACCCCCTTCCCTCAAGCACACTGTTCAGGTGGGAATGGCCTCACTTCCCACTCTGAGGTGGGATGCTTGACCCACACACCTGCCCTCAGAGTGTGTTCCAGAAAGGACCCCTAACTGAGGCCTCAGCAACCAGAGAGGACATTCCTTTCACCAAAATGATGATCAGGATTGGGTTGTGGTGGAAACCTCCATGACTGTGAAGTCCAGCATGTTTGTGCAATCATTGGAGAAAGAAAAGCTCTTTTTCTCTGCGAAGGTACAAAAACAGCATCGCCCCAGGATTGTAGCAGCCGTCTCAGTTTTGAAAAGCGGAGGATCTGAGCATAAATCAGACACTCGTGAACGTAGCCTGGGTTATTGTGGACACTGTGTGCACAATGGGTCCAAGGACACCGAATCCTGATCTTCCTCTGGATGGTTCTAACCGTGCCCCTTGTTTATTTTCTCCAGCTTCAGCTGAGTTTTGTGTTATCTGTAATTGCAAGCGTGTGGGCTGGCAATGAGTTTTGAGGCTGTGAGGCAGAGGAAGCCCAGCCATGATGGGGGGCTGGGCAGGGTTGGTGCCCACCCCTGGGAACAGAGTTGTGCTTTTCTACTAGTCAGGTAAAGCAATGCTTTCACATTTGATATGGCTGGAATGTTCTAGATTCCTGTTATCACGGCACCCCTGGAGATGTTTGGGGGAGGTATTCGCAGCCATATCTTTGCTGTGCTGTCTTCTTGCACGTTCACGTGGGCCTCCTCTGCTGTTCAGACCTGCAGCAGAAGCAGCTCAGGCACGCACAGTGGTCACGAGAAGGATGCGCGCACTCTTGCTCTTCCACGATTTGCTCTGATAACAGCGAGTCCTGACAGAGCAGACGCTTCTGCAGCAGGAGGTTAAGTCCCTTCGTCCTGGGTCTGGAGCTGGATTCCTTTCCTGAGGCTGCTGTTACAAATGACCGCATACTTGGGGCTTCAAACAACAGAAAGTGATTCTCTCAGAGCTGAGGAGGCCAAAACTCTGAGATCAGTGTCCCTGGGCCTGTAGTTTCTACCTCTGTGGACCCCTTGCCTCCTGCTCTTCTATGGGTTCTGATTTCCCTATACGTCTCTCTTATAACATGTGCTGGCATTTAGGGTATACTTGAAAAGCCCGGGATAACCATCCCAACTCAAAACCCTTAAGTGCATCTGCAAAGACCCTTTTACCAAATAGGTCCGTTCAAAGATTCTAGACGTGACAGCTGATGCCTGGATGTATTCAGCCTACCACAGGGGATTTCAGAAATCCCCATTTTCTTCACAAAGGACCCACGAAAGCAAGGTTCAAGCTTCATGATCACAGTGGTGCATCTGCCCTCTCTGGTGGCAGCAAGTTATCACCCATCAGACCAGCAGCCGCTTCCATGGATGCCTCTGGAGCTGCCTTCCTGCTCCAAGCTGGGAAGGTGGGAGCCATGGAGAATCCACACCCACAGTAGGGACATGATGGCCTCTTGTTTGCTGCCCCAGGGGAAGGGTCAGGAAGCAGAGTGTCAGCTTAGATTTTGAAGCTCAAATAGAGAGACTCCCCCCTGGGACTGAGCGATCTGGTTCTCACTGGCCTCCCCATTTGGGAGAAGACATTTCCCAACGCCGCTGTGAGCAGTGCTGGCAGAGTGGACCATACTCAGTGTTTATCCTGTTATTTCATCTGAAAGTCGGTTTTCCCACTGTCAACTAGCCACCAGAGTTCCGCATTCCTCACTGACCTGTTGCTTCCCAGGAGCTGGAGAAAGGTGGGCTGTCCATGACTTTCATCATCAACAAGTCCTCAGTAATGTCAGGAACTCTGCTTCTCCTGGTGCTTTACCGGGGTGAATGAATGTCTGTTTTGGGGTGGGTGATTCTTGTAGCACCAGTTTAAAGTGAACTGACAACAGATCTCTGGTCCAGGCTCACAGGGGAGGATTCTACTGTAAAGGGCAGAACAAGGTCACTGAAGGCAAGGACTATGTTTTATGTTCTTTACAATCTTGGCCCAAACTTGGGTGTTTTATATGACTAGGCCGTGCTCCAGGTTGCTGTGGAAGTGTATTCGTCCAGGAAGGAGTTTTTTTTTTCAAAAGTTGGCTTTATAACTGTGACATATTCATCACTCAGCATGTGAGCCCCTGTTTTTCTCTTCCCACAGCCCAGAGTATTTGCGGCGGCACCGAGCTGCCTCCGGGGAAGCTGACTCACCTTGGCCAGGGCAGGGCTGGCCTCCTGCCCATCTTGAGCCTGGGCCAGGAGCTCTCTTAAATTTGCGTGCACTTTGCAAGCCTCCAAACCTGAGTCCTCATTGAGCTCTCCATACCCATCTCACTTCGCTGCTCCTTGCTGTCAGCTGCCAAGTTCCCTCGAATGGCGAGCCAGAGCGGACGTGCTTCTGACCGCCCCCGTTCCAGGCCACTGCGTTTCTCATGTTCATCTAATCTACAAGCTTGGCCTCGTCCCGGAGAGCCAGAGAGGCAAGGTTTTCTCCACCAGAGGAGAAGCACTGCCTTCCAGAGGGCCCCAGCCTCCTCTCCTGTTCCAGGAGACATTTTTCCCCCAGGGGAGACCACAGGTGAGGCTTCTCAACTCTCTCTTGTTTCAATAACAAACAAGCCACATTGCAACACACCCCGAGGAGATTAGAACAGGTTAGAGCTGGCAAGACCTCCTGGCTGCAGAACCACGGTCTGAACAAGCCCACAGACTTTGGCCTGCAGACAAAGCTTTTTTAACTTGACTGGTGGGAATCCATCAACTTCCTCTGTTGTCTGAAATATGTCTTTGCCATGGTGCCTGATCTAGAAGGAGCAGTGAGCTGGGAGCCCTCTCTCTGATCCTGCAATGTTTCTGCTGAATTTCCCATTTCTGCTATGATGTGGCATTACATTCCATCCCATTTCCCCAGGTGTGGCACAGCTGGGGGAGATGAGGGTTCAGACATCCCCGGGACTCGAGTTTTCACACGTCAGGAGGATGTGAGATTCTAAGGACAATGCAGTAGATTAGATTATTGCTTGCTTCTGTATATCGTGTGTTGATAGAAAATTTGAAGTGCGGTAAGGCCAACAGATGAGGAAGTGACTGCCATTGAAAAGATGCTTTGTCATTTACAGTTGTCAGGAGGAGGGAGCATGCCGTGCCACCCGCAGGGGGCCACACAGGCAGGCACCAGGATCTATCGGGAGGCAGAGTGGAGGGGACTGGACAAGAGCCTTTACTGTGATTTCCATGGGAAGAAATTGGTGACACAGAGGAAACAGGCTTAGGATTGGCTGGTCTGAATAATTTCAGCAGGCTCAGGGGTATGTCTGGTATATGGCCCTGGGGTAATAAGGGCAGGGGGTAGTAGTCATGAGTGCGAAAGTCTGATAAAGAAGGTGGTTGGGGGGCCGGCCCAGTGGTGCAGCAGCAATTAAGTTCACACATTCCACTTCGACGGGCTGGGGTTCGCCAGTTTGGATCCTGGGTGTTGACCCACACACCACTTGTCAAGTCACACTGTGGCAGGTGTCCCACATATAAAGTAGAGGAAGATGGGCATGGATGTTAGCTCAGGGCCAGTCTTCCTCAGCAAAAAGAGGAGGATTGGTGGCAGATGTTAGCTCAGGGCTAATCTTCCTCAAAAAAAAAAAAAAAGGTGGTTGGGTTGTGGATGGGTTGGTTTGCATTTGCAAAGCTCATGGGCGAGTTGTTTACTACCTCTAGGAATTAATAGCCCTAGGAGGGAGGGAAATCCCTCCAGGGCCAGCAAGACCCCAGAGTGGAAGCATCTAAACGCAGAGAATAAAAGACACAGTTAACACACTGCTCTAGCACGCCTTCCCTCACTTTTGCTTCGTGGTCCCTCCCAGGAGGTGAAGTTACTCCCATGATCCACTGACTCAGGGCCTGATCATATGCTGATGGGAAGAAGTGGCAGAGTCTTGTGTCTCAGCTCAGCCCTTCAGCCTCAGCTTTGATGGGGGCACACTGGAGGCAGCTGTGCCCAGGCAGCGTGCATGTCGGAATGAGCAGCACATGAGCAGACCTGAACCAAGCCCACAGCGCGAGCAGAGGCCACGTACCTCTGGGTGAGAAATGAATGTTTTTGGTTTTAAGACACTGAGATTTGGGGATTTTTTTGATGCAGCAAAAGGTGATCAGTACAGATACCTGGAATTTTTGATGAATCTCCAATTGCTGATTGGGTTTCCATTCTTCAAGAGGCCTTCAGATCTCTACTGAGGACATCATACCTGAACTCATCTTTGTCTGCCACCTGAAGACCGCTCTTCCTCCTACTTGCTCAGTTTCACCTGTCGCCCCACCAGACTGCAGGATAAAATCCTGTAAGTCTCTCTCTCTGACCTCCCACACAGTCAATGCCAAGTTCACTGGTTTTTTCTCCTAAATATTTCTCTAATCTTTCTCTTCCTCTCCTTCCTTACTGCCCTGTCTTAATTCAGGTTCCTGTTCTCTCTCCGGAGAGCAATAAAACAGGCTCCCAGCAGCTCTCCCCACCTTCAGGATTTCCTCACACCTCACATCTGTTCTCTACCAAGCTGTCAAAGGGATCCCAGAGGTATTAATTTCCCAGAGCTATCATAACAAAATTTTAAAAAGTAGATGACTTAAAAGGACAGAAATTTGTCTCTCAGTCCTGGAGGCTGGAAGTCTGAAACCAAGGTGTCGGGAAGGCCACGCTCTCTCTGACGGCTTCGGGGAGAATCCTTCCCCGCCTTGTCTTAGCATCTGGTTTGCCAGCAGTCCTGGGCGTTCCTTGCTTGTAACTTCATGACTACAGTCACATGGTCATCTTCTCCCTGGGTGTCTTCCCATCATCTTCGCTCTGGAAGTGTCCGCGTCTGCATCCAAATTTCCCCTTCATATAAGGACTTTATATGGCTTTTTTGTAAATCCTTAATCATACTGGATTAGGACCCACTCTCATGACCTCATTTTAAATATCTGTAGATGCCGGATTGAGAAGCACAGAAAATCAGAAAAAAAAAGAAACTGCACAAACATTTTAAGAAAACAAGATTATTATAAAATTAGCCCTAAATATATTTAAGAAATGCAAGAGGTTAACAACTAAGTTACAATGATAGTCCCCATCTTATGGTTTTGTTGGGACAATTATATGAAATAATAATGCAGGTGAAGTGGTTGGCAAAGGGCTGAGGGAGCTGGAGCTAAAGTGTCTCTATAACTTGAAACCTCGACTGACTTTCGTCTTCTGATTCCGAAGCTGGACGCTCAGATTAATGGGGTGGGGTTTGGATTGACAGTCCCCCTCATTAAACCCACCCCAACGAATGGAGCAACCGGAGTAAATCGTGGCATAGCCATAGGATTAAATATTATGGAATCAAAAAAATTCTATCTATGAAGTCATAATAGTTATGGCATTATTTTGAATATACATGACACATGGAATAAAAAAACAGGATAAAACGTATCTACTAAGGAAAAATATGTGTAAAGAGAAGGAAATAGACTCAAACGTTAATGTTGGCTTTCTCTTGGGTGATGTGATTCCTGGCGTTTTATTGTTTCTTTACTTTAGATTTTTTTAGCTATCAGATAATATTTCTAGAGTCAGAAAATATTTTTCATAAATAAGATAAAATGGAAAAAATATCCCATTCACAATCAGGAAAAAGTGAAAACAAAGCTTACATAAAATTGCTGTAATGAATCTTATCAGTGACTATGCAAGACCTCTACAGCACAGACAGAAAATGCTAGCGAAAGACAGAGCAGTGCTTGACAAATGGAAAGGCACGTTGTGTTTCTGCGCGGGGAGACTGAATAGTTGCAGGCGACCTTTCTTCGAAAACTGGTGTATGGGTTAATCAAAAAAAGAAAATTGGGGCTTATAAAGAAGACTCTGAAAGTACATAAAAAAAACAAGCAGATGAGAATTGCTGTCTAGGTGTTGAAAAAAGAGAACATGAAGGAGAGACTTGCCGTCTCTGGTTCAAGGTCCAGTGGGGGCACTGAGCCCGGAGAAAATTCTGAGAGATGGACCCCGTGTTGTCCCAGGATCTCTGGACCCCGAGAGGGACAACACAGGCTCTGTCACAGTGCCATGCACCGCCTGGCAACTGGGAAACCAAAGCCTCTAAGGAAAATGTTAAATTTTATATTTTTATTTTGATTATAATCTACACATTAATGTAACCTTACTTCAGTTCACGTAGATTTATTCGTATATTTGACAAGTGTTCATGAAGAGCTGCCACATGCTGAGCACTGTGTAGTGGGCAATTCGCGGTTTATATATATACTAGTATCTGTCCACTCCGAAACAGGACATGGGGATGTGATTTCAGTTACTGAATGCGCATTCAGTTTACAATCCTTGGATGCTAAGAAATCCCACAAAATGATTTCATCGTGTTGGTTCGTGTGACTGCTGCCGTCAGATTGGCATGTCTTAATGCCAGAATGACAGAAAGCAGACAACCCACTGAAACCAATGCACTCACAGCAGATCTTGTACCTGGTGGTGAGTGTGCTGAATACGGATTCATCAAGTTACCCATTTGCTGAAGAGAGGAATTTTCCAAAACTTTTAGCTGCACCATGTCTTCACCATATTAATTTTGCTGCTACGATTCTCCCCAGATGTCTGTTTCATATTTCACTGAGGCACTTCTCAAATGCCTGATTTTATATGTCAGCATGTGAGGTTGCCCTCCCTTAAGCGAAGTTAGCAACCTCTATTTTTGCAGGTTATGGCTGTCTCTGCCCCGCTTCTATTCCCACATTTGTTCCTGCCCTAGTGTCTGCCCTAACACCCGACCCCATCCTAGTGTCTGACCTGTCACTCGTTTCCCCTTTAGTCCTGGTGCCTGATCTTTCCCCATCCCCCGGGGGCCCGATCTTGTCCTCCTTTGCCTCTGGTGGTGAAAGGGCTCTGTTGAATTGTTTGAGACACAAAGTAAAGTTGCAGGACAATAGATCACTGGGACAAATGTCTTCAGAGAGTTGGTTTTGGGAAATTAGATAGTGGAGAATTGGTGCATCAGAGATTAGGGTTTGAGCTATTGATAAAATCCTAGAACCAGGAAGACGCTGTCGGCAGGTGGAGCCCATCTTACCCCTATTTGCCACTAGATGGCGACCCTGAGAAGGTAAAGTTCTGATCCACTTTCCCTGGGACCAGGCAGAACTCGCTTTTCTTTAAACTGACCTTTTCTCCGGCTGGTGCCTGAACCCGCTGTCTTATGTGTTAAATACTGAAGTGCAGATGTTCACTCAAAGTTACAGAGTGAGTTAATAGCGAACTTGAGTCTTAGGAATTTACCCTTTAAAAATGTCAGGTAAATTTTTGCTTTGCATTTCCCTAATAAATAGTGATGTTGAATAGAACCAAAATATAATGATGCACACCTGAAATTCACACAATGTTATAAATCAATGTGACCTCAATAAAATAATAAAATTTTTTTTAAAAAGTCTTGTGAAAACGAATTACAAAGAAGGTGGTTGTCTGCCAATACTCACAGAGGAGGGTTTATGTGGTAGGTGGTACAGTGGGAGAGCAGTCCAGAAACAGCCATAGGGTCCAGCTTCACACCCTCCTTGCATGGTGTTTAGCTTCTGCTTCTTCTCTTGGTCAAGTGGTAACCGGCCCATTCACTGGCAAGTATAGAGAAAAGGAAGGATTTTAAGAGATTCATATCAAAACACACAGGAAAGACAATTTTTAGAATTCAAAGATTTTAAGAGCTTAACTTTAAAAGTTGTCATTCAGAATGACAGCAAGGGAGGACAATGCTGCTGTGTGTAGACACGCATCCTCCTCATTAGAAATGTGACCGCCCCAGACCTGGCTCTTGGGAGCTCCAGGAGAATTCATTGCCCAGAACTGTTCCTAAGTGACAGGACTTTTAAGGATGTTTATGACCCTGTTTAGACTCAGGCTCCAGAGCTGTGAGAAATGAATTTCTGTTGTTTATAAGCCACTCTGTCGACGGTACTTTGTGACAGCAGCTGAACCGACTAAGATGGGATGGCTGTGGGAACAGCCGGAGCTCTCTGCAAAGGCCCTGGCAGAAGTCCTATTTTTGTCGCTTGTCAGAAAAAGACCAGTCAGGTCAGACATGACCTACTCAGTGAACAAACGATTGCAAGAATTATTCCCACATGCTTCTTCAGTGAGGCGGGTTTTCAGAAAACAGCAAAACAAAACTAAACTACACGTGACAAAAATAGAAACCAAATTATGTAGGAGTCTTGACTTCCTTCCTCTATGGCATCTGCTCTCACGGATGGAGTGAGCCCCTGGGAGAGAGGAAGGGGACTTCAGGGACACCTCCCTGCCCATCTGTCTGATGTCATTTATAACAACTGAACACTCAGGGGACCCTTGGCTGGCTGGGGAGGGTGACCCATGTGGGCATACTTTCCTGGGGCCCGCACAGGAGGACGCACTTTCCCGCCCTAGGAGGTGTGGGGAGCCCACCTGGCCATGGCTGTGCTCCCAGGAGGAGGGAGTTCACCGGCTGACACAGACCCAAGGCAGCCATGGGAGAACCAGAGGCAGGCTGACAGTGAGGGGGGTAGCTTCCCAGCCCCCAGTGGATCTCTGGTTCCATCTGCAGCTGGGCGAACTTGGGACAGAGGCTCTTGAGGAGAGCCTGTCTCCTGTCCCATCACGGCATCTCCTCCTCCTCTTCCAGGTCCTATAGACAGTGACCTCTAGCATGATCCCCAAGCCAGTGTGGAGTCTATTTGCTCTCCAATAAGGGAACACATGCCAATGAACCATGTTCCTGCGTGGTTCGGAGGCCGAAGGTCAGGAGGTTTAATGTATCGGGAATGTGGTGTGTGCTTACAGGGACACTGCTAATAAACGAGTGAGGTCTGCACTCAGGGTTGGGGGCCACCAGGCCATTCGTCTGCACGCAGTTGATGAAAACAAGCCACACAGTTCATAGGTCACTGAAGAGTCTGCATTTAAGTGGGTGAGGCACCGTCACCCTGGGCTCGCTCTGCTTTGCTAGTCATCCATCAGTTTCAGCTGGTTAGAAGCCGTTGGATTGAAACGCAGCCTTCAGGTTTGATATGTTCCAGGCAATGGATGCTCTAAATGAAAACTTTCTCTTTTAAGTCCTTCAAGCTTTCCAGAACTTGGCAGCCTTTCCTTAGAGAGGTCATCTGAGCACAGCATCTTCTAAGGTTCCAAGAAATCCCCTCTCTGAATCTTATAGGACTCCCTCCCTTTCTTCCATTAGGAGGGGAGTTCTGTTGCTCTTCAACCTAAAGAAAGGAAGGAGGACGTCAAGCTGCCCTATAACGACTCGGGGGACTCACCATCATGCAATCACTGAGGAGGATAATGGTGGAGCTGATGAAGACACAGAGGGAACTATGTGCACTGAATAGTACGTGGGAGTCAAAATGGCACGTACCCCATAAGTGCAATTCTGAAAAAAATGTGCACGTGTGGACCAGGATTGGAGAAGCATAGAGGGAAAAACAGGTCGACAGCAGATTTCATGGGAAGAGTGGTATTTTGGACAATTTTTGTTTCATTATTGTTTTGTATTTTAGTTGATTATGATAAGAAAACATTTTTCTACTTATGTTTGTGGATTCTCAGGGTTTGGTGGGGTAACAACCTTGATCAAAACAGTAATGGTACAAAAACTTTGTAATCAGCTCTCTCAGACCTGTCCTGAGTGGAACAATCGTTTACCCAACTGAACGCTGACTTAATTTCCTTTAAGACCCTGTTGTCTACCAAGGTTTGGGACTTATAATAATAAAGATTTTAGGTGGCTTTTTTCCCAAATTATGTTCAGTCTGTTATCTAAGAGAGGAAATAAAAGCAGGGGAGTAAGATATTTCTCCTAAGCCTTCATAATACTATGATTTAAAAATTATTATTTTTCAATATTTTTGGACACTTCATACATTTTCAGAAGAAAGCAATCATGAAAAAGCATATGTATTTTGGGAGTTTATTAGAAACATCCATTTCCATGGTAGTTATTTTAAACGTTGGACAGAATCAGCTCCATCTGCTAAATCAGAGGTTGGAAAACTATGACCCTCAGGACAAATTTGGCTTGCTATCTGTTTTTATAAATAAAGTTTTATTGAACATAGCCACTTCATTTGCTTATGTATTGTCTGTGGCTCTTTTCTCTTTACAGTGACAGAGATGAGTAGTTGTGATAGATGTGATATATCCAGCAAAATTGAAAATATTTATTGTCTGGCCCTTGAGAAAACTGTTTGTCAACCCACATGTTAAACCATTGACATTGTCATCTAATCCCACATGGTGACCACCGGTGAGTCAACTGCTCCTGGTCATTCAGTAGAAATGTAATCAGGGTCCATTTATATAGGAAGACTGGGACTTAAGTGTTGTTGAAACATTCCTTGAAAGAGCTGACATGGGGGCCCAGCCCCGTGGCTGAGTGGTTAAGTTTGCATGCTCCCCTTTGGGGGCTCAGGGTTTTGCCAGTTCAGATCCTGGGCGTGGACATGGCACCGCTCATCAGGCCATGCTGAAGTGGTGTCCCACATGCCACAACTAGAAGGACCCGTAACTAAGATATACAACTATGTTCTGGGGGATTTGGGAAGAAAAAAGCAAAAAAATAAAAAATAGATTTAAAAAATCAATCAATCAATCAAATAAAAAATTTGTTTTTAAAAAAAGAGCTGAAATGGGAAGGCATACCCACTGACAATCCAATTTATCAGAGTTGTAATTCCCTGAAATTTCCAGTGCAATAAATTCTTACTAAAACAAAGCATTTTTTCCCTCAATCGTATTCCACTATACCTCCACTCTCATCCTTTCTTTTCATTTGACTAGCCAAGTGAAAAAACAACAATAACAATTTTGATGACTTTCAAACCAGGTCTTCAAGAGAGAAAAACGGTGCTGGCCAACATGGGGGAGGGGCAGTTGCAATAATAAACGCTTTGCATCTCTTCCTCCTTCCTGCCTTCTTCTTTCTTTCTTTTCTTTCATTTTTTAACTTCTGCTTATGGAAAAATTTCAAATATACACAAACATGTAATGAATCCCAGTATTCTTATTTCCTAGCTTCAATATTTCTCAACATTTTTTCTCTCTCCTCTCTTGTTTTTGTTGGAGTATTTTAAAGCAAATCCAAGATATCATGCCACACACAACACCTGTCAGTACTTCAGGAGGCATCTTTACCTGATGGGGCCATTTCTCTTCCAAAATAACTGCCCCATCGCTGTTACAACTAACAGAATTAGTAATAAGCCTTTGACATTACCCAGTCCATATTCAAATTTATCTGACTCTCTCCAAAGTGTCTTTTTGCCGTTGGTCTGTTCAATGCAGGATGCAGACAAGGCCCACACACATGGTTGCTGGGTCTCTTTTTCTGCTTTTCTATAATAGCACTCCTTCTTTTTCCACATACCACTGTTTGTTGGAGAAAGTAGGTCATTTATCCTGTATAAAGTTTCTCATTCTGGATTTGACTGGTTGCTTCCTGTGCTGTTGTTTGACTGGTTTCTCCAACTTCCGTATTTCCTGTAAATTGGTGGTTAGGTCTAGAGACTGGATTAGTTTCAGGTTTGACTGCTTTGGGCCAGAATTTTTCATCATTGGTGCTGTGCACTTCCTGTTACATCACAACAGGAGGTCCACTGACTTCTGGTTGTCTTGCTTTCCGTGAGGATGAGATTGATAACTGGGTTCAGTTGGTATCAGCCTCAACCCTCTAGTATCAAATTCCCCACCAAGCTTTTCACTGATTGGCTTTAAAACAAACCATTGATGATTGTTTTAGACCTATGACTTCATTCAGGATTGCAAAATAGTGACTTCCTAAATCTACCATGCCTTCTTCATTTATTAGCTGGAAATTTTCTGCAAGGAAGATATTTCCTTCATATAACCATTAGTTATCCTCAAATACAGTTTATACCAGGAAGACAGAATAAATGGCTGATCTTTTTTTCTATTTACCAATTTCCGTAGTAATCAGTTGGTGCCTTAACAAACTCCAATTATAAACGATATTGTTTGTGAAAATGAATTTGTGGATTTTTATTTATTTAGTGTGTTTCAGTTATATGTAGTCATTATTCTTTGCCATGATGACAAATGTTCCATCCTTACCCGGGGGTCCTCTTTAGTTTTGAGCCAGTGTTCTCTGGACGTGGTCCACCCGTCTTTGATAGCTTCCCTACTTCTTAGCACAACAAGACCTCCCAGGCTCTTCTTGTGCATCTCATGCTCCACCGAGTCCACTGGTTCCCTAAGTAATCCTTGTTCTCTCTAGTTGAAGGAGCAGAGACCATAGCCTGTGTGTCAGCGGTCCCCATTGTGACTGGGTTGTCACTGCATTTTCAGAAGTGGGGGCTAAGAGATATGAACTTTTTGTTAAGAGAGAAAAAAAAGCTGTGATTTTATAATAATAGTCCCAATTCAAATGTAAGACTACGGTATTTTGGTATAACCTTTTAATTTTGCTTGAAACTCCTCTTATGCTGAAAATCTTGGTTCTTATGAGTTTTTTTGTTTCTTTCCCCTCTCCTTTTTTATTTCTAAAAGTTTCAGCCCTGCATGTCCACACAAGTGTAGTACAGAGAGAACCTGTACGTCCTCCCTCTAGATCCACCAATTGCAATGGTTTTGCTTTGAGCCCTTTGAGAGGAAGTTGCAGGCATCGTGACATTTTGGTCCTAATAGTTCAGCACGTATCACCTAAGAACAGGAGTGCCACAAAACTACAATGCAGTGGTCACCCTCTGAAAGCCCATGATGATACAAGTCTTTGAAAAATTTTTCTGAGAAGAGGCACTGGTCACAGTTCCTTCAAATGGCTTTGACTCCTCCGTTGGACAACAATGATGTCTTGCACCTTCAAAATCTGTAGTCGATACTCTATATGTATTTCACATAAGTAATACATGTATTTTATGAAAATTAAATTCTTAAAAAGTATTTATAACAGGAAGCGACTGTCTTTTACCAGTCTTTGGTTGGTAACTTAAATGGGTTTTAGTTTGTGTCTCTGGCTGATAAGAGGAGAAGAGAGAAGGGGGCCCAGGGCCTGTAGGCTGCAGCCTCTCCCTGGGTGGGCCCCTGTCCTCCCCAGCAACAGTATAATTATCCTCTCCTCTTCACTTTTTTTTTTTCTTAAACAAGATCCTTTAGAATGGCTTGTATCTCAAGGTGGCTAAAACATTTCCTTTAGGGTCTTCCATCTTTCCCTCACCATCTCTTTTTTCCTTTTCCTTTCCCTGATAAGCTCCAGGTGGTCCTGAGTGGCCTCTGCTGTGAGCAGTGAGCTGCCTCTCCAGGGTGTCCTGGTCAACCACAGAGGGTCTGGGGTCAACATCCAAGAGCATAATGGTGGTCTCACCTTATTTTCTGAATTCTTTGGTTTCTGACCGTTTGATTTTAAGGACGAGACTCTGAGCATGTTAATAGGTAAAGTACTAAAAGTGCACATGGACCAGGAGTTGTGCAATCTCAGATCATCAGGGAAACCTCCTCAGGTATTTCAGGGGCAGTGGAATGAAATATTCCTCCCCTTCCCCCTTTGTGTTAAACACTGAGCTGCCTGTCTCCAGTGATGGGACTTCTGATACCTCATGGGGTCAGGGGACAAAGAGAGACAGCAGCAGGACATGTGTTGGAGAAGGGATTGCCAGCCGCAGGACCTTCCTGGGGCCCCATGGTGGCCTTCCCTGGAAGGGATGCCCCTCGCTGGTTGGAAGGAACATGAGGAACGTGAACATGAACATGAGGAAGTCCCTTATCCCAGTGCTGCTCGTCCATACAAACAACTTCACGAAGGCTGCCCAGCCCTCACCTGCCTGCGAATCAGCTAATAGCCAGCACCTGATCCCCAGTGAGCCCTTGCAGACTCGGGGACGGTCACCCTTCCACTCTCCCCCCCCATCCTGGTGGTGGAGCTTTGTGATAATTTTACCCAAATACACCAGTCTGCCCCGTCATCAAGGAGGGTCAGGAGAAGTTTCTCCCCTTCTTGCTGAGTCAGGGGTGGCCAGAAGTGGAATCTGAGGGTTCTAGGAGGACCAGACCCACACTTTAGGGTGGGTGGCCTTGGCAGTACTCAGAAGAGGCAACACGAAGCAGCGCAGAACAGTGCACAGGAGCGTCAACAGGTCACCAAGCCTTCCCAGGTGGTAGATCCCAAGGGGGATGGAGTTAGCCAGCCAGGCCATTATGGGCATCTCCTAAATCCCCTCCCACCCAGTACTAGCCTGTCCTGTTCATGATGCCCAGTGTTTTGTCTTCTTTCTTCAAAAAGAATGCTTTTTGTATTCTATTTTATGAGCTGGTCAGTCAGGTGTGGCCACAAGATGAGAGAGAGGAGAAGCTCAAGGAAACAAAGTTTATGACACTCATGGGTCCTAGAGATGGGAGGCACGGCTCACCACTCAGGGCCACATGGGGAAGCACCGGGGTGGTCAGGAGGCAGACGACAGGGGTGAGGGGAAGATTTAGGCCACCCTTCTATTGGGGATTCTAAGGGAAAGGAAAGCAGGGCAGAGGGAATAGCTTAGGACTGGCTAGTGTAAATAATTTTGGAAAGCTTTGGGCTATAGTGGTGGTCTCTACTAGCCTGGTACCTGGCCCTGGGATGGTTAAAACTGAGGAATATTGCCTCCTGGGGTATACAGGCCAGCCAGAGAGTGTAGCTCTGGATGGGTTAGTTTGCATTTCAAAGACATGCTCCTGGCTAGTCCCTTTGCTCTCTCTAAGAATTGGCTAGCTCAGGGAGGGGCAGTCTCTCCCCAGCCAGAAAAGTTTTTTATTTTAAGATATCAAAACATCATAAAATACACAATATAAAATATATACAACATATTTGATTCAGTGGACTTTGAGTACAGCAGATAGTCCTCCATAATGTGGGTGGGCCCGATCCAGTCAGTTGAAGGCCTTAAGAGAACAAAGACTGACCTCCCCCAAGAAAGAGGGAATTCTGCCAGTAGACTGGCCTTTGGACTCAAACTGCACCTCTTTTATTTGTCTCCAGCCTGTTGACTACCCCCTCCAGATTTTGGACTCACAAAGTTTCCACAATGGCGTGAGCCAATTCCTTAAAATAAATCTCTCTCTGCGTATAGAGATGCATCCTGTCGGTTCCATTTCTCTGGAGAACCCTACTAATACAGATGCTTCTACTCTGAACACTAATGTACACAAGCAGCTCTTCCCTGTTCATTTATTCCTATTGGCGAAAAGCCTGGGGTAGATTATTAAAGGAGATCCCTTTGTGGGGACCCTATGACAAAACCTTGAGTGGCTCACACTTGTTAGTGCCCATTAGAATTCCACGGCAGATCTCTTTACTTGATTGAGGGACATGCCTTGTGGGCCCATGAGCTATGGAAGTCAGGATGCCATGTTGCTCTTCATATGAGACCATACGATTTCACTATCAAAAGTTGAAGCCAAGCCCCATGATGCATTTTGTATTGTACATGACCCTTCCCTCCCCCCATGAAGCACCTCTATGGGCCAGGTAGTGCCTGGCAGGGTGATTACACAGCTCCTATGCCTTCCTGTGCTGGTAAAGAGTGTGCCTTAGTAGAGATGAATTGCACCCTCACCCGAGATTTGGATTTCAATGTGCAGCTTTGCTGACACAACTGCACTGATGGTGGAGGTACTCACCAAACCTTTAATGTCGGCATTCAAGTAACAGTGTACCAAAGTACCCACTGTATTGCTCACGAGAGGGAAAAGCAGACTCACTAAGTGTGAACTAGGCTCCATCTACCATAGTGTCCTAAAAGGCAATCATAGTTAAGAGGTGGGAGAGACTTCTTAAAGTGTTAGCCATGCAAAACCAATCAAGTCCAGTGAACATTTTTCCCATTCGGCATAGTCAGTGTGTGTAATAACCCTAAAGGCACATGGTTCAGTAATTTCTCAATGACAGCCACAGTAGGAAAGGCTTGGGCCTGGAACTCTATATCGAGCTTACTCAGATCAATACCTTCCTTTTCATCTAAGCAGATGCTCTTATAGGAACCATGAAATTGGGCCTTGTGACCCTCAGAAGTGAAGTGGCTTGTAGACAACTCAAGTACCTGTTTTAACATTCAAGTCGTCTTGCCTCCAGGCTGGTTCAGGAAATAACTTTTGCATTCCAGTCTTATGAAGGAGGGGCTGAAAAAGTTTGGGGGGAGGGTGGTGAGAAGGCCATAATTGTGCATGATGGGGGAAATAGTGAATTGTTAAATATGGAGGAGGTTATACTCTTTAGTGGGGAGAAGTGGTCCTGTAAGGTGAAGGAGTGAGAAGTTGCAAGATACTCATCCCAGGTAGATGGGGGTTGGGTTGTACTGCCACTCTGAAAACAAAGGGCTTGAATCTGCCCTGGTCAAGCAGGGGTGGGTGGACACAAGTGCTCAGAGGAGCTTTGGGTGGAGGAGAGAAGGCATTGAGGGGACAAGAGAAGGCGAGAAGCATCAGCTGCAGTCTCTTTTGACACTTGGAGCGAGGGAGTACTGCCCCCACAGGAATGTAAGCCTGGGGACCACGTGTCATGGGGCTGGGCTGGGCTGCAGGAATCACGCTCGTCTTTCTGGTTCTGAGCCTGTTGTTTCTGGTGACAGTGCTGTTGACAACATACCAACCTCTTCCTGGGACAGTCAGTTTCCTCTTCATGGTTGGGGATCCATAAAAATATGCTTTTGGACACTTGAAGAGCTCTTGGTGGGGCCGGCCAAATGACCACGACCTAATAAACTGAAGACTGTGAGGTAAACACATAGATGTGGTTTTTTTCTGCCTCAGGGGTTGGGTCATGGGAACTAAAACATTGGCTGTCCCAAGTTTGAAGGCTCATCTAGGAATCTGTCTATGACATAACATCCAGAGAAATGCTCCCAGGGAGGACCTCGATATCTCCAAGAGGGAAGTTGATAGCATGCCTGCGTCTCCCTCTCAAGATAGAATCCTCCTGGACTATTTCTTAGCTCTTCAGGGGAAGGGAGAGTCCTGGATGGTCTGTCATTAAAGCCACATGTTGTGTGTGTGTTACAGAGAATGCCCAAGCAGAGCCTAATGCCCACAACATAAACCAGCTTTTCTTTCTCTGCCTTCCCTTCACAAAAGAGGGATGTCATCTCTAAATCTGTTGCTGGGGGATGGAGGCAAATGTGTTTATAATGGTTGATTTTCACTTGTGCTTATAATTTATTGACGTGCAATATGAAATTGCTGTCACCGGATTAGGAGACAACAGAACTGCACGAGTCATCAGGAGTTGTAAGAAATTTATTGAAAAAAAATTCTCCCCGCCCAGCATCTACAGGCCAAATGGTGCAGAAGGAATGAATGCGGAAGCAGTGGTCATATGAAATGCTTTCATGCGTGATATGTAACTGCTGATGTGATTGTGGCGAAGTCAGAAATGGTCATCTGGGAACCCAGATATTAGGCCCAGCGAGTGAAACTTAAGAGGAGTAGTTTTAGGGTCATAACAGAGATTCTCAAATGCTAAGGTTAACCAGCCCACTGCCCCAGGCCAGAAAGGAGAAAGGGCAGCAGTTCTGGGCTCTGCAGATGGCCCATTTTACTGAACAGGCTGCTGAGACCACTGAATTTGGGCTGAGCTTCTGCAGCTCCTAATCCTCATCATGTATCCTTGATCTCATGTGGACCCTCTGCATGGCTCACATGTTGGTTCGGTAACAAAATGAAATAGAAATGACAAGGCTGAAGCCATGGTCATCATCTCCCAGTCCTGGACCCAGCGGGCTTTGTGGCCTAGCCCATTTCCCCTGTAACTCCTGTACTTTCTTAACCTCTTCCCAAAGGAGACACAAGATTAATTTTGGTCTGAAGGCGATATGCTTCAAAAAAAGGTTTCTTTTATTAAAACTACTATTACAAATACTTCATTTGGCTTCTGTGTTCTTTCTCCCATGGCTCCCAGCTCAGAGGCAGCACTTGGCCTTCCCGCCGTAACAAGTGCCCTCAATCTTGGTGAAGAGCGGGCAAGAGGAGAAGTGACAGGTGCCGCCACTCCTGGCACAGATGTAATGGTCAGACCTGTGGCCGAGACCCGTGAGATAGCCGACACCTGGGACAAGGGAAAGAAAACACTTCAGACTCATGGCTTGCAGCCACAATGACTTCAGAACATTTGGGAAAACATGTCAGGCAACTCTGCAAAGCCCTTTAGAGAGTTTTCTTTTCCAAGAACTTTGCACTCAGTTGATGTTTAGGAATGCTCAAGAAATAAGGCATCTGAAGAGCTTGCTCTGCCTGAGGTCTAAGCCTGCTGTGGCCCACCAAAAGCCAGCAATGAGCAGCAGGGTTCGGAGTGGGGTTTGCTTCTGCCCAGAGAGCTTTAAGGTGTGCAGGGAATTCGAGTTAGTCCCCAAGTAAGTATCCTACCACATTGTACTTCTGCCCAAATCCACATCCTCTGTTTCAGAAATGCTGGAGTATATTTCTAACTCCATGAGCACATCCTACACTTCCCTCACTCCTGTGCTCTTGAGCTATACCATTCCCACGGACTAGAATCCCTGCTCCCACACCTCCCCCCTCATATTTCTCCTGAAATCTATGATCCCTTAAGGTCAGGTTGAAATTATGGCTACTCTGTAAAGTTTTTTTATTCTGCCTTCTTCCCAGTATCACAGAATCTCTTAATTAGAACGTCTCCAGACTAGCCTTCTGCTGTATCCAATAGAGAACAAGCCCGCCCTATGAGATCGCTATCAAGTGACTATCAAGCCATCTTTTTGCATGCCTACACTGATAGGTGTAATGGACTGAATTGCAATTCTCTCGCCACCCCCCCACCCCCATTCTTATGTTGAAGTCTTAACCAGCCAGTACCTCAGAATGTGACTGCATTTGGAGGGAGGGGCTGTTAAAGAGATAGTTAAGGTTAAATGAGGTCATATGAGTGATCCCCAATCCCATACGACTGGTGTCCTTATAAGAAGAGGAAATTTGGACACACAAACAGTCACAAGCGATGCACACACATAGAGGAAAGACCACACGAGACCACAATAAGGATGTGGCCACCTGCAAGCCAAAAACAGAGGCCTCAGAAGAAACCAAACCTGCCAGCACCTTGACCTTGAACTTCCAGCCTCTAGAACTGTGAGAAAGTAAATTTCTGTTGTTTAGGTGACCCACACTGTGGTATTTTGTTATGACAGCCCTAGCAGACTAATATGATAGGCCATTGCTACCCTAGGAGATGGAACATTCTAATGTCACATATCTCTGCTTGTTGGAGAGGTGATTTCATGCCAGTTGAAATTGTGCTCTCAGTAACTTCCATCCAGTGGCATTTTTTCTGCTTTTTACAGTTGTCTAATCACTCTTTCAGAAGGCAACTCCAGTTTTAGTAATTCTGCTTTTTAAAAAGTCCTAATTTTTCTCAGTGCCTCGTTTCTAGGCCCTTCTCAATCCTCCAGATGTGTTCAGGGTTATCAATAGATTTCCTATTGAGGCCTGGAATAAATACAAAGTACCTTAGACATGTTGCACCTACCAAGAGCAAAAGAGGCTTCCCCTCTCTCATCTTGTGCACTGTAGAGCTGTGCTGTGTAATGTGGTAGCCACTAGCTACAGGTGACAATTTACATTAATTTAATCAGAATTACACTAGCCGCAGTGCAAGTGCTCGATAGCCATGTGTGACTGGTGGTTGCTGCATTGGACCGTGCGAATATAGACCATTTCCATCACTGCAGAACATTTTATTGGACTGTGTTGCTATAGAGATTGAAGAGAACTGAGAGACATTCTGGTTCCACCATCCAGGGAAGTGACTTGGGCCAAAGCCATTCAGTTATACACACAAAACACAGTCTCCTGATCTCCAGTGTGTATTCTTTCTGTACATCGTGTTGATTCCTATTGTTGCTGTCCAAGATTGTACTAGCCTCACCACAATGTCATCCTCAAGCAAGGTCATGGTCAACTAGATTCCCCAACTCTCCAATTCCAGCTTTTGTTTCCCTTCATCAAAGGCTTTCAGAAAGATACTTAGTCCAACCACGCTGCAAGATTGGATCCCTCTGACAGTATGTCCTCCAAGTAATTATCTGTTATTAGGAAGATTAGAAAGATCAATTTAGCTACTAAATTCAAAAGCTCTTTGAAATCATGAGGGTCTGTACATTACTGTTCTTGCTGCTGTTGGTATATATAATATATATATATGATGTCCTCTGCTTCATTGTGCTGGGTGAGCAGAGGAGACCCAAATGCAATCACAGCTTTTTAGAGCCCAGATGAACGTCAGAGCTCAACTCGTTCAACCTCTCTGTAGTCTTCTCTCAGAAGAAGCTGAAGTCCAGATATGCCTGTTAGGAATGCAGCCAGCTGAAGGCAGAGCCAGAAGCAGAAGCAAGTCTGCTGACCTCCACTCCAGCTCTTATTCCACCTCGCCACACTGCTGGTGGATTATGGCTTCATGACTATTCACGGGAACTAGTGTCTGGCATTAGCTTCAAGGATCCAGTACATTATAGAACACACAAGTAACAGCAACATATTTAGTGTCAGGGTCCTTTCATTAAATTCTGTGTTGTAAACTAATCTATGCGATTTTTGGTAAACCACTCAACCTCTCTGGGTCCTAGCTTCTCAAATTTACAATTGAGGAGACTGGATTATGTGATCTCATCCATTTCTAATACTCTAAGGTTGATCATCTTTCCTTTGGTGGGGAACTAGCACGTTTATGGTCGCATTTAACCCTCCGAGGAGTGCACTGCTTTTTCCTAATTTACAGACAGGGAAACTGAGCTCTAGCAAGATTAAACGAATCATCCATTATCCCACAACAAACAAACCATGTTCTGCCTAATTCTAAAATCCGTGCTTCTGCCGCATCATCTCCCAGGAAGATGGGTTGGCTTGTTAGACAACTTTGCTAGAAAAGGTCGTCTTTGAATGGTGCTAAGTAGGCTTCTATACCAATAATTTGGGAAGAAGGAGGAGACAATATGGTCTGCTTTACTATTTGCTTGGTTGTGAAGCTTGAGGAGGCTATGTACAGTTCTGGTTTAAGAAAGCAGCAAAGCATCCCTGTTTTATTCTATTCTCATCCCTCCCTCCCCCATCCCCACCACAGCAATCGAGGGAGTGAATACAGGACCACATTTGTTTCTTTAATCAGTAGCCCTGTTGCAGCTACCTCATCTGATCTGGAGCTGAGGGTGTCTGGTGACTAGACATTTGGAAATGTTTGGGGACATTGTTATCACAACTGTGGAGGTGTATGTGGGGTGATGTTATAAGGATCCAGCAAATAGGGGCCAGAGATGCTGTTGGATACCTACAACACACAGAACAGCCCGCATACAGAGAATTATCTGGCCCAAAGTGTCAATAGCTCCACAGTTGAGAAATCGTTGTCTAGACCAGTGCTTCTCTATGCTGCATACACATTAAAACCAGCTGAGACACTCTTAAATATATTGATTTAATTGTTCTGGGGTGGAGTCTGTGTATTGGCACTTTACAAAACTCCTCATATGAATCTAATGTGCAGTAAAGAATTAAGAACTGCTGGATCACTCATTTTAAGTTTTAGATATATAAGAATCACCTGGAAGTTTTGTTAAACCACAGCTGCTGGGCCGCATTCTCAGAGTTTCTGATTTAGAAGCTGGCTTGGGGCCTGATAATTTGCATTTCTAATAAGCTCCCAGGTGGTACTGAAGCTACTGGCCCAGAAAGCACACTTTGAGAACTTCTGGTCTTGCTTGAGCAGTCCACGCTTCTTTGCGTCTAGCGACCTCTCTCATAGCACTTAGTTTTACCCTGTTCTTTACATTTATCTTTCCTTTTGCGTCAGATTTAACTGTGCACGTGTCTGTCTATCCTAACAGATTCCATGTTTCTTGACAGAAGAAAGGATGTTTACCTTGGAACAGGGCCTGCAAATATTTGTGGCATTTAAGCACCTCTGAAGATTTGGCTTCCAATAATAGTGGACCAGGCAGCCAAACCAGAACAGCCCGAACAGCTGGTACACACACACACACACACACACACACGTACCTTGTAGGTGTCAGAGAACTAACAATAAAGATTTACTGAGTCAAGATTTGGGAACAGACAAGAATGAAAGCAAGGACAGCACATTCTATCAATATAAAAAAATTGAGATTACTATAAATTTAAAAACTCGAATATTTAGTTGAAATAGAAAAGTAGAAATATTTTTCTATGCATATATTCATACTGAAAAATGGGATATTCACTTGAACAAACTTGCAAATTTAGTTGAGAAGAAAAATTCCTAGAAAAATGCAACTTACTAAAATAAACAAACAAGAACAGAAAATCTAAATAGTTCCAGAACTATTCCAAAAATTGAGTCCATAAATAAAAGTCTAGGCCAAGATGGATTTATTGGCAAATTCTACCAAGAAACAAATAAGAAATAGCATCTACACTACACAGATTGTTTCTCAGAATAGAAAAAGTGATACCTTCACCAACTCATGACATGATGCCAACATGGTCTTAACATCAATGCCTAACAAGATCAGTAATGCAAAGAAATGAAAGAAAAACAACAGGTCAACCTCCCTAATCAGCAGAAAGGCAAGAATGTTAAATAAAATATCAGTAAACAGAATAAAATCAGGTTCAGTGTATTTCCCAAACTCAAGATTTCATCCAACATTTGAAAATTGGTCAATGCCTATTATGATAAAGGAGAAAAATCACATGATCATCCAAAGAGGGGCAGAAAAACATATGAAAAAATTCAACACTGATTCCTGACAAAAAACTCAACAAGCAAGGAACTGGAGGGAACTACCTTCATCTGGTAAAGAGTATCTACAGAAGTCTACATCAAACAGGACACTTAGCAGTCAAACATTGAAAATGCTCCACTTGAGATTGGCAACAAGACCAGGATAACTGCCATCATCATTTTCATTCAACACTGTATTTGACGTCCTAGCCGGAGGAGTAAGAGAAAATTAAACAAAAGGTACAGGGTTCTAAAGGAAGAAATACAATTATTACTACTTACTGACATTATGATTTTGTGTAGACAGTTCAAAAGGAATAAACAAGCAAATTTAG